GGCGCCGCCGAGGGCAGGGGCCCGGGAGCTCGCGGTGCCGAGGTACCTCCCCCGCGCCGGGCGGCCCGCGGGCCCCCCACCCGAGCCCCACCGCGGAGTACCCGCGCGGGCTGTGCGCCTATCCAGACGGCCCTCTCCTGTCCCACCTTCCGCCACCTAGGGAGAGGAAGGAGACGCCGGCACGGCAATCCTCGCCAGATATGGGACATTTCCTCGCCCTAAATTTTGGGGTGGCGCCGGCCCCCAAGCGGTGTGGCGGCGGAGGAGAGTAGAAAGTGCCTATAGCAACAGTTTATGAGAGGGGTGCTGCCCTACCTGGGGGATGCGGCTCAGCTGCTCCTAGGACGCCCTGTCTCCTCCGCCGGGCTGCCCCGAGTTACCGCGAGAAGGCCCCGGAGGTGGGGGTGGGGGTGGGGGCGGGGGGGCAATAAGCTTAACCTGTAATTTTGCATATGAGGAAACTGAGGTAGGATCTGCTGTTTCAGTAACAGAGTATCAGCCGGGTGGGCTGCCCTGCCTCAAAGGATCCAGAATTGAAAGCTCTTGAAAGAGGAAGGAGCGGTCCTTCGTGGACGCTGGGAAGGGGAGGGGCGTAGAGGCCCATGCTCTGAGCAAGGGGTCTGGAGTTCCCTCCACTTACAGTCCATCGGAGTGAGAAAGGGAAATGGAGTGGCTGCAGTAATAGGCCAAGGGTGAGCCCGGCTGCCTGGAGGGGAGAGCAGGCCTCTCCAATTCCTGACACTGTGGTTCCTCGCTTAGCACTACACTGTTGCTCATCCCTTTTCAGGCAAGAATTTGTATGCACCAGTGGACTCCTTTCTCTCGCTTCCACTGATTGTTCTACCTGTCAACGCCTCTGGTGTCTGCCTGGGAAGGGCTAAGAGGCAGAAGTCAGCCAGGACCATCGTCGTGTGGCAGTAGGACGTGGGGTACGCTGTGGAGAAAGGGCCTTCAACCTCTTGTCCTTTCAGGACCCATTTAGGGCTTAGCTCCCAGGTACTGCTTGGCTTTCCCCGTGCTGGCCTAGAGCTCTTTGTACCCATTAAGATTCAGGAACAGAAGATAGGTATGGGAAACAGGCTTCCACTGAAGTTTTGGGGACAACTGAGAGAAATTACAGCTCAGAAAGGAAAGAACTTCTAAATAAACTTCAGTCTACTGAAGTTTCTAGATCGTTTCTAGAGACAGTACCACAACTTATCAAAACGAATTTCCCACTGGCCCCTCTCCTTTTTGTTTTCCGACCAAAAGGTTCCATTCATTGAAAGAAGAAGAAAAAAAGAAAGAAAGAAAAGAAAAGAAACACACACACACGCCCCACTTCTCTGCAGTGCTTTGTCATGAATCAAGAAATCAGACGGTTTCTCAATCTCTTTTTGTTCTGCTTGCCTGTTTCCCTCGCCTTAGGCCAGCATCACACCTTCTGGATCACTACAGTTTTATGATGTCCTGACGTACCAAGAGTAAACCCATCCACTTTGTTCTTTAGGAATGCATGGTGCTTTCCTAGAAACCTTTAAATCAGAAACTTTTGCCCTTTTGTAGAAACTTTTAAATCAGCTTGTTTACTTAGCCATGCGATAGCACTGGGATTTTGCTTGCTATCACATTAAATCTTTAGATCAGTTTGCTTAAATTTGGCACCTACAACATGTATTCTTATCCATGAACATGGTATGTCCCTTCACTTCTTTAAGGTTTTAAAAATATTCCTTTCAGCAGTGTTTTGTAGTGTATATGTAGAGATCTTCTTTTAGATTTAGACCTGAGAACATGTTTTTATGCTACTGTTAATGATTATTTTGTTTGTGGCCAGTACAGTGTAGTGATTTTATAACTCTGTAAATGCACTGCCACTTCTCCAACGGTTAGAGTCTAGTAACCATCCCCCTCGGAAAGGTTAGTCTTAGTGAATTTTTTTTTTTTTTAACAATGCAGCAGAAATGTGGGTGTATGGCTTCTGAAGCTAGAAATAAAAATTGGTGCAGCTTCTGCTTGGCTCCTTGTCTTGGAATTCTTGTCTCTGGAGCCCTAACACATTATGAAAGAAATCTTAGGCTGCTAGACTTACACGAAGTACAAACCGACCCACACAGAAAAGCTACATGCAGAGTCTCTGAAACTGAGTAAAGAGGGGAAAATATCTAGCCAGCCCTCAGCTGGGTCAACCCCTCCTGTTCCAGTTCATCCCATTGCTTCTGCAACATATATAATCCTAAAATGCACAGCTGAGCCCTTTCTGAATCTAAAATTTCCAGAAACCATGAGAAACAATAAGTATTATCATTATTATTATTTTTTTTTTCTGAACCAGGAATTGAACTCAGGCCCTTGTGCTTGCCAGAGAAGCGCTTATTCCACTGAGCCATCTCCCCAGCCCTATCATTATTTTTAATTTTTTTAAAATCTATTTATTTGGTACAGGGTCCCGGTGCATAACTTGGACTCACAGTGATCTTCCTAGCTCAGCCTCCCCAGTGCTGGGATTACAAGTGTGCACCACCACACTCAGTTTCCGTGGTCACCTTGCCACAAGCCAGGGCTGGCACGGCATGCAGTACTGGAGATTGAACCCAGGCCTTGTGTTTGCCAGGCAGGTGCTTAGGCCACCGAGCTCTATTCCACAGCCCCAGTATTATCATTATTTTAAGCCATGGTGTTTTGGAATGATCTGTTATTCAGCAATATAGATCTAGAACTTAATAAAAATTGATGTTTAAATAATGATCTCATACCCAGCCACACCAGTAAAAGCACTTATTAATTTTAATAATTTATGTATAGATTCTCTTTTTTAATATATTTAGTACAGGGTCTACAGGGTCTCGCTATGTAGATCAGACTGGTAGTGATTCTCCTGTTTTCAGCCTCCCAAGACCTGGGATTCCTTGTGTGCACCACCGTGCCCAGTCTCAATAGCAGTCTCAGCATGCCCTGGAGGCACCTGGCACGGCATGCTGGTAGGGATCAAGCCCCAGCTGCTGCGCTCTGCCTAAGCAGGCCCTTTAGTCCGCTGAGCTATTTGGCCGGCCCCTTATGTAGAGATTCTTCAGCTTTTCAAAGTATACCATTTTCTGTTTCAGCTGTAACAATGATTTGCTTTCTCCCTTCAACCCTTGTAAATTTCATTTGTTTTCTTACCTTGCTCACTGGTTAGCATCACCATATGCTGTTGGAAAGAAGTGATAATAACAGCAATCCTTGTCTCCGTCCTGAGCTCAGAAGCAATCTCAGTATTTTTGTCATAGTGCTTACTGCACTTTTAAATTTTGTTTTGTATTTTGTAGATAGCTCTATTGCAGGTTGGAGGCAGTCTTCACAAAGACTCTCTGGGTCAGGAAACAGGACTGCTGTGGCCATTTCACAGGTGAAAAGAATGATCTATTGAGGAAAGTTCAACTCCCCAGAGTGAATAGAGCCAGAACTATAACCAAGGCTGAGGATCTCGCCTAGAACACTTTCCATTGTTCATTGTGCTCTCCCCAACTCTGGCCAGAGCCATGAAACAGTGTCCATGTGAGTCAGCTGCAGGTAGTCACCAGGCCTCCCTAGAGTCTGGCAGCTGCCGCAGCCATCCACCTGCCAGTCCCCTACACCCACACCCTTCCCTGAGGAGCCAGTCAGCACCACAGAAACACCTAGGAAGTCTGGTAGGGAAGTCCAAGAGAGAAGCCATGCAGGCCCCAGAGTGTGGCCTTGCCCTCTCCTGTTGACAGTTGGTCACATAGAAAGTTGACCACTGGGTTTTCTATAGAAACACGATAGCCTTCATGTGTTGTCTTCAGGGTCAGTTGAGACCACTTCTCTCTTCGTTGTAACCTCAAGAAGAATCTGTGAGGAGGGGGTCTTCACTCTCACCAGTGTACAAGTTGACTCAGCCCACTTGGCTATGCCTCACCTGTGGCCCAGCTTGAGGACCCAGAGCCTCTGACTGCATATCTTACATCTTTTAGCTTCCTGTGCCATAAATAGCTGACAATCAAAATGTAGATGTGTTTTGCTATATTTAATTGTTATTTAGATGACTACCGTGGAAAATATAGCTTGGTATGTGCACTGTTCCCAAGAGGAAGGGTTGTAAATGATCCATGGGGTGGGGGGGGCACATGGGGAAGCCCTGGGGTCAGCCAACAGACAGATGGAGAGGGGTGAACTGTGGGTAAGAGCCTTTAGTGTGGCTTCCACAGGAAGGAACAGGCAGGTAGCATAAGCAGGTTCAGGAGTGGCTAATTTGAATATGTTGGTGGAGCTGAGGTTAGGGACTGTCCCTAGTTGCCTGGTACCCACTCTGGGTGATTGGGGCAGGTAGATAGTGACACAGAGTGTAAGAGCTCAAAAAGAAGGTAGTTGGAGGAGGAGGATCTGGATGGCATGGTTTACTTTTGAAAAGTATACTCACAAGCAAGTTGCGTGCTATTTGTAAGAATTGGTTAATCCCAGGAGGAGGAGTCCCTCCATGTCAGCAACATGCCAAGTGGTAAAGCATCCAACTGCAGAAATTGAAGACCTCATTAGTACAAGATGTGTGGTGGCGCATGTCTGGGATCCCAGCACTTGGGAGGTTGAGCCAGGAGGATCACTGCAAGTTTGAGACCATCCTGGGCTACATAGTGAGTTCAAGGCTACACTGAATAATAAAGCAAAGCCTTATCTACTTACCCATGGAGTTCCCAAAGGAAATGAGCCCATTCCACCTGTGATTCCTTTACCTGGGAAATGGGTTGCCTGTCAATCAAAATAAGCCCTTGAAAAACAATTATGGCAGGGCTGGTGAGATGGCTCAATGGTCTAAAGCACCTACTTAGAACAAGCTTAAGGGACCGCGGTTCAATCCCCCAGCACCACATGCCAGCC